TTCTTAAGTACGAAACTTCATCACATCTGTATGTTAAAAATCTCAGGGAAGAACGGGCGATTAGTTACTACAGAATGTCAAAGAACCAGGGGATAATTTTATATTCTCTGTCATCTGCTTGCAGCAGTTTCCGTCGCAGCTGCATGGAAGTGTTAGATTAGATCAACTTCTGTTTTACCTAGCCTAACCTGAAGTACAGTTCTTTTACCAATGCATGTAACTGTCATTACTGTAAACTACTGCTGTATGACCCAAAAGTCACGCAACACAAGGCTGAATGTCACGCTTATTATACATATTTGATTACAATTACATGCCGACACTGTCTTTCATAATGTTGCAGACATAACTCAACCCGTTTCAACAAGTTCGTAGGAACTCTACGAAGAGAGGCGCCATTTATTTTTATAATTTTCATCCCAGCGTCGTCCAGTCAAGCGTGACGGACACTGGCTATTATATTAGGAGCAGATGCTACTAATGAATGAAGACAGAATGTCTAAGGAAACATTACAGTATCAATGCAAAGAACAGAATAGACAGACCTCATAAAAGACAGATATAATAAATTACGGAGAAGTAACGAATTATAAAGCCCAATACATGATGACAATAAATTAGGAGGTTTAGTACTAAGTTACTAAAATAGAAACACCGCGACTGAACATAATTCCTTACTCAATGTTTAAATTGTTTATACCACTATATTACAGGGCAAACGGGACTATTTCAAATTTCCAGTTACTCCAGCAACGACCAGAAATCATGTGATATATCTTTAAGAAAATGGATAAGAACGAAAGAAATATTACCTTTCATGTTACATGAGACGGATAAGAGTTCAAAACAAATGTAAAAGTTCGTGATGTAGATACACGATTTTCATACAATCAAAACATTATGGTAATGAACACAATGAAACAATTACAATAGTAATGAAGGCTGCTAACTAATTATAGCAAACACAGAGAATTTCTGAGCAACTAAACTGGTATCGTCTTCACAACGTGTGGTATGAAGTCTTGTTACTTTATGTTAATCGTGTACAAGGGCTGTGTTATTCTTCCGGTAACACTGAATGCTTGGCTGTCCAGGTACTGTTTATCTTATAACTTCAAACTAACACAGACCATCACTGTTTACAGACATGATGGCGTCGAAGCGCAAGGGCTCCATTACCAGAACCTACTGCACTATTATCGTGCCTTAACCCTTGGGAAATTCAGACCCTATGTTGCAGACTGTTCCAACTACGTCACCTGTTTTGAATTATCTCCCTGTATCTCGGCATCTTTCAGTATATAACGAAGTGCAAGTTGAAGTACTTCAGCCGGGAACAAACTGTGAGTTTCATTTACTTACTCGTCTAGCTTAAGGGTAGAAGGAAAACAAACGGATATACAACGCAAGCCAAAGACATTATCGACACAGACGCTGAGACAGCGAGCTACAGAGTACTGCTGCCAAGTTACAATGTTTAAAGTATAGACGGTATTAATTTTTCTTTATACTCGTCTATTCCTGCATTTACGGTATAAATATATATATTTACATGTTTCTGTGTTTTAAATTTTGTTTGGCCCAGTACATCATTGCCAGTTTCTAACAATTTAATTTCTGCTGCCAAACATTTTACTAACAGCCTCTGGACCTTTCCCTGTGTCAGCTGAATCCGCTTCAGACCTCATACACTGATCCCTTAACAACCACTTTAATAATATCCTTACAACTATCTCTAGATTTCACACTGGACCTATCTACTTGAGATTTCCCGTTAACATGCATGTATCCATTCCTCATCTCCCAAATTACTTTTCATTCTCAGACATAAGTTTATTCCTAACACGGGCCTGTTAACTGCAGAATACAAATTATAACGCTCCTTATGATGAAATGTTCTTCGTCTTTTTCTTCCAAGGATCGTAAGCGATTTTTCTAACCATCAATAT